AAGTTTATCCAAGTTTGTAAAGCGCTCCGGCATGTCCACTGAATATGTAGCTGACAAGGGTCTTCGAGAGGGATGCCCCAGCAGTCCTCCGCTGTTCAATGTGTATCATCACTGTGTACTTGAGGACTTCCGACATTGGAGAGCCCAACTCGCACAACAACATGGACAGTCGGAGTACGGAAGTAGCACTGGGCGATATCGGCTTCGCCGACGACACAGCACTCATGGGCCACGTCGATGAAATAGCTGGCGCAGAAAGGTTGTTAAAGCAAATATATATATTGATTGGCGCGAAAAAGTCCACCCGGACAAGACGGAAGGCCTTCGCCTGCAGACCGCGGGACGCGCTCCCTATGATGTTCGTCACAAAGGCGAATTCGATACAGTTCGACACGTGGGAGGCCTCCTATACAAGCCACCGCAGGCACGGCCGCAAAACGGGCGCGAGCCTATTTCAAACTTGCGCAAGCAGCAAGGGCTTGTCATTTTGGGTCTAGGCATCGCAGCGCACTCCCGCATAGTCTGCGAATTGAGATCATGAAGGCAGTCGTTATGCCCACCCTCACCTGCTTCGGCCGACCCCGTGGATGGAATCGAGAACAACTCTACCAAATGCAACGGGTAATCAACTACGCAGTGGAGCGCTGTCTCGGAGTGCGCATGGAAACGTGCTCACCAGCATGTCCACAGTGAAACGCTCACGGAATTGGCTCAGTGGGAACCGTTCAAAACTACCATAGCCCATCAAAGTTTGTTCTGCTGGGCCATGTAGCTCGTATGCCGGTGAGTCGACCCCCTAAACAAGCCAATATTGGGTTCTGGAAAGACCACCCCACTCGTCGATGTCCCCCGTATCGGCAAGGACAATGGTTGAAATATGTGCCAGCCCAAGCCAATGTGTCCTCAATAGACGGGTTCCGCCAGGCTCAGGATAGGCAGGCCTGGCGCGCGCTGGCGTTAGCCGAATTCCCGGTTGCCCGTGTGGATCCTCAACATGCAAGTTGCCACGCTCAATCGATGGCGACTCTCCATGGGAGCCCCACAAAAAGTCCAATTTCACATTCGCCGCACTCCCCGCCCTCGTGTTGGTTTTCTACGCCGCGATCCCACCAGAGGCCAATTCCCGGTAAATCTAACCAACTCACTTACCACTTCGAGGCCGAATGCGCGGTTGATCAGGCCGAAGTTATCACTGTGGCGACCTTATGAGTGCGAACACTGCCACCAGAGTTGGTGCAACGAGAAGGAGCGTCGTCAACATATCTGCCCAGTGCGACCGGCGCCCAAACGTGGTCCCAAACCACACCCACTCGTCGCCTGCCGACATTGTCACCAACAAATGGCTGCCCCAAACGTCGCCCGCCACGAAGCAGCGTGCCGTGGACCCGGGGCTGCCAAACCTGTAACACCCTTCTAGGCTCCGTACAAGCTCGGAAGAACCACGAAGCTCGCTGCCGCGGTTCAGCCCCATTTCTAGAGGGTTGTTTTTCTTCTTATCGCCCGCTCCCCAGCATACCGGGCACGACCCGGTAGTAGTGTTCGGAACAAGTTCCGTTCACGCGCTTGGGGGACGCGCCTGGGCATGTCCCGGGCAAGACGAGATCTCCAATCAGTCAACAGGGTCTCATCCTTCTTCCTTTTTTCTTTCGGTTTGCTTGGTGTTGATCCCTTCTTTTTCCGCGACAAATCCAGCAGCTCTCATATCAATGTATCCGCATCACTTTGGCTTAAAGCACAGATCACTTTCGCGGTGACCCCGCCCGCCGAAATGGCGGCCGCTGAAAATACAGAGTTTAGAGCGACGACTAGACGCCATTGAAAAAGAACAAGAGCAGCAAGGAATAGAAATCACCTCCCTGAAACGCCGAAAAAGCAACGCTTCTAGTCACGCACAGCACCCAAGTTGAGGCATTGTACGTGGCTGCAACGCAATCTCTCCAATTCAGCACATTAGCAAAAGACGCCAGCAAGGCTGTCCTGCAGGAGTTGAGTGAACTCATCAAGTTACCGTTCCCCTTGCCGCCACAATTGCCGGCGGACTGGCATCAGATAAACGAAGAGACCAAGACCATACCCCTGGATGTCATTGCGAATTGGTGGCTGCTGGTAGGGACGGTAGAAACGGCAGTGAGATTTATTTTACCAAATCGGTCAAGAAATACTTGGGATGCTACCACGGGACAGTGGCATAGGCCTGACCTTCGGAGAGAACGCACTTCGTATCCAGAATTGTTTGCAGGGACCCCTTGAACAGTTCATAAATCGCCTGGTCAAAACACGCCTGCCGAGATCCCGAACCTTTTCGTGGGCAAAGCCCCCGAGGAATTGGAACGCAAACGAGGAAAAGGAACAAAGGTGAGGGAAAGGGCAAAGATGGAAAGGGCCGAGGGAGGGGCCGCGGACGCGGCCAGAACGACCCATAGAGCAAGGTCGCGCTTCACCCGCTGGTTTCACCCACGTTGACAGTCCTAGCTCATGCTGATTAGGCCTAGACTCTAGCTCTCTTGATGTGATGGACAGTGAGCTGAACAGATGCATCCACTCCTGCATTATCCCCATGTGCCATGGCTTAAGTCCTGTCCACGAGTTTTTTCATTACACTGGAGGATGGAAGGTGGGCTGCAAGCGCTTGTGCCTCGAGAGACTACCATCGAGATCCATCAAGTTAGGCAGCTATTTAAACAGCTACTCGTCGTCGTCGTCGTCGTCGTCGTCGTCGTCCAACACCCTCCCCGGGGGACCGCAAAAACCAACCCCCAAAAAGCGGGCGGGGCCCACCCAAGTCCAGCGCCAGCCGCCCAGGAATTATGCCGTTTTGCTTCATAACCTGGGCCTGTGCCACCTGAAGCAAGGACCGCCGTTGCTGCGCCTCGCTCCGGTGGGTTTTTAGGACTGAGAGACCGACCGAGGTGAAACCTTCCGCCCATACTTTTGGATTGAAAAGCTCTGGTTGAAGTGGTTCCATGAAAAGTAGCAACATCTCAGTTTGCCACGCTAGGTCCGCTAGGTCCGCCGACGGCAGGTTCGGTGCTGTGATGCCTGTTGAGTGCTGCGGAACGTGCTGTGGAACTACAGCTTGGCCCCCTGTGGAACTTCCGAAAGCCTTGATTTAAGTCGAGAAAATAGGAAGATGATTGGATGAGTCAAAACCCGGAACCCTAATCCACCAGGCAGCGAACGACTTTCAGGCAGGTCAACCAAGGTTGCCAAAATCTCACTGTTCTGGACCTCATCTAGCGTGAGGGAGCGACGGCTCGGTTTGTCCGCCCAAATTCCTTTCCCAGCTGAACAAGGAATTCGTCACCCAAAAGACTCGCCATGGCAAACCGCTGGCTGACATCGTTTTCCCCATCTTCCAATCTTCAGGACACCGGACAGACGCGCGCGAGCTCTTTGCAGAGGCCATGAACGCCTATGAGCAGGCCGCGCCGGGTGACGTCCGATTGCAGGTCTGGAAATCGGATGCTGGTATGGGTTCAACACCAACCTCGATGCAAACAGGCCGACTGGTCCCTCAAAGCCATAGGGATTGGTTCGGGTCTGGACCCCTCGATATCAGGGTACGGTCCCTACTTAGGAGCTTTCATGAGCGTCTGGGAAGGATCTCAGGCAAAAGGTGGCTTTGCATGATGATCCCCGGAGATCGAGGGTGTTTTGCCACAGACCGGTCTACTTTGGGAGTCACCTGGAATCGGGGTCTGCGCCAAGTGCAAGTGCTCAACTCGCAGGTCTTTTCTTCGTCCGGATGCAACAAACAACTTGCAATTTGGTCAGAGCTTACCTCAGTGCCACCAGTCTTACACAGTCTTACTTAACAGCTCTTTTCCAAGCTGCAGATTCTCACCGTAGATCTCTTCCGTCGCAGTAGTCACTACTCAGCCTGAAACGACGCAGAGCGAACGCTGGAGCGAACGGAGGTCGTTTTGGGCGAGGAGTCTCCACAGTACGCGGAGCTGCTAGAGGAGAGATTCGCGAGTGGTGCGTAGACTTGGCTTGAATACGCAGGACAGGAAACAAAGGCCTCAAAGGAGGGTTTGCTTGGCAAGACTTTTGAACTCTTGGCTTTCCCTTGATCTTGGTCTCAGCCAGGACATGCGAAAGGCTGAGATGAGCGATCTTATGGACACGATGGATTGAGCAAAAGACTCGTTCTGCATTCTGCGTGCGTTGGCGCTTGCGCGATGCTGGCGCGATGGGCATGCGTTCTCGATGTTCGTAGCGGTTCTAATTCGTTCAAAGGATGACTCTTCGAGGTACCTTTAAGACATTCACACGCCCAACAAGACCTGCCTAAAGTTAGGGAGTGAAACACTAGCACGATGATGACCCCCTGTCTGTGCAAAGAATGTCAGACACGATGTTTTCCCAACACTTTCCTACTTTTGGGTTTGACTGAGATTTCGTCTGGGACTCCATCGGCTGTGAGCCGATGCGAAGAGGTGTGGGGTTTTGTCCGTCCGTCCAGCTTCGGACGATGGTTGGTGCACTGCAACGTCCAACGCCAGGTAGCCCAGGTAGATCAACACTGGTTTTAACCCTATACCAGGACCCTCCTGGCCAGGCTGTTTTGGGATACTAACTCAGGTGGTGAACCTGGGCACCGAACTGGTCACCAGGGTGCCCACCTGTGAAGTCGGGTTGTTTTGACCCACCTCCTGTAATTCTTCCGACAACTAGCCTGGCAAGTTCCAGCTAGCCAAGTGCGGGGCTCACAACGTTCACGTGTTCTCTCTAGGCGGATCCCAGTTAACCCACGGCATGTTAGGTCTTTGGACATAGTTCTTTGGTCTTTCACAGCGGTTGGGATCCATGCCAATCCTTGAGACAGGTTTTTCACAGCCTATAGTAGCCGCCCATCCCATAGATGTACCGCCTCCCAGGGTCGTTCAGGTCTCCAAAAACCCTCTCTTGGTTGAGAGGATCAGCCACCTGAGGGGTCTTCGCTTCAAAAGCAGGTGGTTTTCTTGATCATCCAACCCCTGGTCTTCGCGCTGTGTCAGGCGAAAGTCGACAGATCAAGCAGCGCGGGGTCTATGCCATCACCGCGTTCTTCTCGATCTTCGCGCCACTCGGTGGACAGATGAGACCATACGCCACATATCTTCACGGACACACATAAATATACCGACTTAGAGACGACAAAAAAGGATTGACCCGCGTTTTTTTGTGGTGTAAAATCCTTAGTCGGTTCGGGAAAGGCTATTAAATGAATGATGGATGGACGCCTAGGGTATACATATATTACATCTATGAGCGGGTGCATTGGACGGTTGACAGATTCTTGAGGGGGGTGGATGGGTAGCTAGTGGTGAACGCAAGCTCCCTGCAGGGGAATGATGGAGACCCCAAGCGACCTGGGCCGCCGCTCCTGACACACACCACCTGAAGTTGATGTTCTGGAGATCCTGAAGACCCGAAGGGATGGAGTCTCTCCTTTAGTAGTAAGGCCAGAAGCCACTAGTAGCGTACTTGCTCCTAGTAGCGATGCCAGGAGCCACTATAAGAGCATATTGATGGATTTGTCTTCTCCATACATGTCTGGGAGGGGTGTTTTTTCTTTTTTTTTTAAGACCCCATTTCTGGGAGGCATGAAAAGACAAAGGCTGGTGTATGACTTTGGATGGCACTTGGGAGTCAGTTGTTGGTCTCAGGACTGCTTTTCTCAGTGGCTTCTTTAAAGCACCCCACGTCCAGAAAAAAGCGGGAAGTCAGCATAGTCCGGGCGATCCGAGTGCGACACTTCGAGAGTCAGCACCATGCGTGGAACAGAAGCACCATGGCGGTTTGTAGCGCTGTTCATGGGACTGGAGTATTGACCAGCCCCTGGGCCCCTTGACACATCCTAAGATCACGTTTACCGGATTGGCCAACGTTCCATTCTTTCTTGATGCACATAGCATTGAAACACATGACCCAATGGACCCTGGACCAATGGATAATTGGTATAATTAGTATATCTGGACCAATGGAACATGACCTGAACCAATTAGTATACCTGGACCCGATAAAAACAGGTACTGGATGGTGCCACCATTTTCTCAGCTACGAACGGGTCGACTCCAGGTAGTCCCATGGATGGTTCGCCGAACAGCTCCGTTTCGCTTCATCCCTCGCTTGGACGAAGCGGGGTGTGGAACCCTCTTGGAACGAGCCGTTCACCGTCGGACGTGGTGGCCAAATGGGTGGAACAGGATCGGAGCTCCGACTGGATCCGAGACCCAAGAACAGTGCACTCGGATCGATTGGTAGCTGTTGAGTTGAGATCCTTGGAGCTTTTGGACCTGGGATGCTTAGACCGTCGGACCGCTGGCGGGCTCGAAGCTCTGCCATTCCCCAGCGAAAGATCCGCCGTGAACGGAGCAGTTGACGGGGAGACCTTTAGAAGCCGCTTGTTGGTCAGGTACGTCTGGCTGCTCTTCATTTGCGTGGTCAGTTCCATCGATGAGCCACTTGGTACCGGTGGACCGGTGGAGTGACAGCATCACCGGTGGAGCATGGGAGCACCAGATTGGTGTTGTTATGGTATACACCCAGGCGCTTTCCATATACAGGATTCGTCAGGAATTGACATTGACAGTTACTGTAAGCCTGTAAGCGACTTGTTATTCAAGAACATTTTGGCAATGCTGGAGCATCATAACATTTAGCCAATCTGGAGCATGTCATCACCAGTATGATGTTTTTGCGTTGAAGGGTCACCATGAGAAGAACCGCGGCTTCGGCGCTTGGGATCGTGTGCCAAGTGAAAAAGGATCCACCCTAAGAGGATCAGGTCCAATCTGCAAGAGCTGTTTGGAGGAATTGGGGACACCCCACTGAACACGAGCAAGTGGACAATTTGATTAAACTCTTTAAAGTTTCATATGATACTGAGCAAGTTGGAACACGGGGTTTCTGATTTCGGGTTTCACCGTCTATTTCGACCATGCCCGAATCTGCGTCGAAGCTGCCCAAAGCACCCAATGACCCGAATCTGGGAGGTCGCAGTTTTCGAATCGCACCCAACTCTTGGGGTGAAATGACGAGCCTTTGCCTCAAGTGAAGTTTGAAGAACAAAAGATTACCTCACGGATGGTGAACAACTTCAAACTCAAGTAAGCTTTTTGCCTTTGCCTCAATCTCGCGGCGTCTTTCTCCCCAACTCGATTGCCTTCACGGACCGCGGACGCGCGGACGGCGTGCTTCCGGTGGTTTAGCGGAGCGACGAGGAGTGGTCTTAGTTTCGGGGTCGCGACGCCCGATCGAGCACGCGATGCCTCCGTGAGCCCTGATCGCGCACCCCCCCCAAAATCCACCGCGAAGCCCGAAAGACCTCCTCGGTGTCGCTTTTGGTGCCAAGAGTCCTGTCCCTTTTGCAGGGAGCCTCCGAAATCGCACCTGCCCCGAGACTCTTGGAGCGAATCCTTGGAACTTGCTCGATTTAGAGAGGCTCATCCCTGAGCCTGGGCAGTGGCCCAGACTTGGAAGCCCTGCAGCTGGCTAGTACTGAGGATTGAGCTGTGGGAAGGTATGGTCACCTTCAGTTACTTCCCGATCTTTGTTGCTCGGATCCAACGGCGAACCGGCGAACCGGCTTTACAACCATCTCTACCTTTAGATATAGTAATCATGCAGTTTGAAGGGAGGGTTTATATTGGGATTACAAGGGTTTTCCCTTCAAACGGTGTTTCCACCAGGATAACTGGGCCGTTGCTGAGATTCTCTTTTTTTTTGAGCACCATGCTGTGGCTGTTCACTGCTGGCTGCCAGTCCCGTAGAGAGCTTGATATGAACGGATCGACAGATGGGAATCCTAGCGCACTTGGCCGGGTTCTTCACAGAGACCTTTTTGATATGGCGGTGGGTCATGATACCCGGGTTGCCCGGAACTCACCCTGCTAGGTTGACCTGAGAACGGAGAACGGTCGTCGATTCAGTTCCTTTGATCAGCCAAGGTCCCCTCGTGCCATGTACAACGGCCATATTGTGGTTCTACATTACCTTTTGATAACCGTTGTACATGGCATGAGGGTTGATAAGGTACCTCAGCTTCTTCAAAGTGACCTTTTGATAACCTGGTTTGAGGTCACTTAAGCCTCCTAAGGGTCACTTAGGAACCTTCAAACCTTCAAAAGGTCACTTTGAAGAAGCTGGTAGTTGGTTCTTGAAGATTATTCATGTCCTCACTCCAGGATCGCATGAGCGAGTTCGGAAGATTCCTCACTCCAAGCCTTTTCGCATCTTCAAGGTCTTGCTCTTCGAGATTTGCACCTTTTTCACACTCGTTGGTATTGGTATCCCAGTACTTTTATTTTGTGACTGGCGGTTCAGGCGAAGACCTGTTGGTGATACACGCCAACTTGACCAACGAACAGCTGATGGAACAAGCCACTCTCCCTGGTTCCCATGACCTTCGCAGAAGATGGTTGGGGTGGGTATGGGGGGTCTAACAAAAGCCTTCGAGGAGGTAGGCCAGGAGCCTCCGAGGAGGTGGGTCTCATCCCTGTACCAGTGTGGTGTGCCAGAGTGCTCTTCATCGAAGGCTCTCTCTTTCTCTCTCTCTCTCTCTCTCTTTCTTTTTCTCTCTTTCTTTTTCTCTCTTTCTCTTTCTTTCCCACTTGTTGACAGCTTTCACACAAAGAGGGGGTCTTTTCTCAGCTCCCGGAGCAGACGGAAGCTTCTTCCTCTCGTGACCTGACCCCAGACACCCAAACCAGTGCTCGGCCACGAACACCCGCCCCCACGAACGGGTCACAAAGCGGTGGTGGTTTGTGTGTGGTCTACTTTGAGAAGCTCGTTCGAAGTTTCGATCTGAGTGCCCGTACGCTCGCTTTCTTGCCAGGTCACGATCTGTTATTTGGCAGACATCGGAGTCTTTTGGCAGAACCTGGGAAGGGAACTGTTGGGACGTACATACCGTGGCTGAAAAATGACTTGAAACATATAAGGAGTCACATGTCGGACCTGGTATGGAGTCGCATCCAGCCGTGGATGTGACTGGCAGCCCAAGGGTTCCATGGTTTGCACCTGGACGGAACTGCTGGTCAGAAGGTTTGAGTGGTCGAGGCTTTTCTTGACAAGGGACGGGAATCAGAGAAACGTCGAACCCAGAGGTTGATGCTCGTTCCAACTGCGGAATCAAAAAAGAAAAGACACACAACAACTTTCAGGCTCTGACTTCTATAGGGTATGTTCAGGTTCTGCTGGGTGGGTTTGCTGGGTGTCAAAATGGCTTGGGAGTGATCAACTGGCTAGCCAGACCAAATTCGGACTGGGTTCTCGACCGGATGTGGTTGAAAAAGGAAGGCAGCGTGAATTTGCACCTACTTGCATTCTTCCAGCTTCAACCCTCCATTTTAATCCACTCCAGACTCCTCAAGTAAGCAGAGTCAACCACGTTGTCCTGGCAACACAAACGTGAATCCACTCCACACGTAGGTTCCAAAGGGATCCGATTCTCGTCATGTCCAACCCAGGTACTGACCATCGAGAATTTGCGGTCGAAACTTTGTCCAAAGCGCATCTGGGCACCGGAACGAAGCAATCGGGGAGATGCAGTGCCACAGGGTTCCTGCTTTTTTGGGGCAGGTTGGACAGAGCCCCAAACAAGGGTCAAAAAGCAGGTTCTCTAGGTTAGACAATTAGATAATTAAGTAGCTTAGGCATGTTTAGACCATGGGAAGAATGTGCATAGGATAAGGTCCAAGACTTCTTGCATAGGAAAGCATAGTGATAAGGTCGTTGAAGATCTCTTGTTTTCCTACAGAAGGCCTGTTCTATTTTTGGGTGGCCTCACCCGGAATGACCGCCCACGTCCGAACGACCGGCATGTAAGGTCGCCGAAGGGAGACGTGCCCGTGCCCCCCAACTGATGGCATTGGGACGGTACCAGTGAAACTGAACAGAACCGACGAGCTACCAGGGTGAAACGCGCAACCCGGGTGACTGCCACATGAACACCTCGACCAGGTTTTTCGTCGCCGTCCAATTGTACAGCCTGACCAAGCGAACAACCCTTAGTTGACGACGGATGTCAACCTTCCTTCAAATGGTTTTTAGACAGGCTAGGGTATGCATATAGTTTCAAAAGAAACTATGTATAAGTTTCTACAAGTTTTGCTTGCATAGTATAAACTATAGTTTCTATTAGAATAGTGTAGTTCTATTTTGCTTGCATGTTGTGCAAGTGGTGCACACCAGCTTGCCAAACCACACCAGCGACGGAAACCCACCGAACCGAGACGAAAGCTCCAGACCCATGGTGCATGGGCCATGGGTGAGACTTCGTTCGGCGACGGACTGTCCGAAGGGTGCGCGAGGGTCGGAAGTTTAGAATCCTGTTTCTATATAGTATATATAGGGAATTCAATGGTGCTTCTCGATTTTGTTGAGATGGTGAACAGATCTTGTCATGATCGACCACCGGGTGATGGCGCGCTGTTGAGTGGCATGGGCTACTATTGCACCCGACGTTGGACCTGAGCGGACGGAATCATTGGAAGAGAGATAGGGGATGATCCTCTCCTCGCTTCTGTGCTTTAAGCATCTTTAAGCTCTATTTGGTCGAATAATACACCTAGAACCCAGACATGACCTTTGCTTTCATAGGAAAAGACCCTGTTTTTGCTCCCAAACAGGGGTCGAGTCACTCAGGTTCTAGGTTTTTGTATATAGATATATCCCAGGACCCTCCAAGGGGTGCCCAACAATGGAAGCCTATAGGTCGTGTGGGGTAGTCCAGCCAGGACACCCTTTGTTTGTGACGTCTCTTGTGTCAAGGTGAGCCCTTTCACAACTTCGATCGTGCCATGTGTCCGACGCTGACCGTTTCTGACGCTTCGTGCAGGATTGCTTCGACGACGGCTTGACGGACGCCTCCTCGACTCTGTTTCGACGCCTCCCTTCCGAAAAAGCTCCGGTCTTCCACCCAGCGACATCCTCCAGCCTCTTCAGATCCTTTCAGCCGAACTCCGTGGCTTTTTCTCCACGGCTGGCTGTGCCGAGGCTATGACGAAGAGGCGGACAACGCGCCAAAGACCTGGCTCGAGAAATTCAAGGCGGAAAGAGGAGAGGGGAGATGAGGGGAGAGGGTTCAGATCCGATTTGAGGATGAAGTTCTTCAATTTCTTCTTTTAAAAGTTTTTTTTCCTCCCGTCATTCCAAGAGATGTTGGATTTTTTGAAGAAGACCCTCATTGTTAGAGATGTGCTCATTTGGATCACAGTCCAACACTTCAGAGTTCCTGTCCAGTTCTGGGTACCAGCGATCTGCAGGCTAGCTTTCATTAAGTCGGGGGTCTGGTGGAAGATCAGTCCTTGAGCGTGGTGCCACACTTGGAGGGTATATAGTTGTATACTCAGTAACCGCTTGCTTATAGGGTCTAAAACCCTTTGGAACTCCTCGCCTGAAGGGATTTTCATGTTGGGTCATTGATGACACAGCTAGGTTTTTTGTCCTTGAAACTGTTCCTATGATGTTGGCCATGAAAGTGAGGATTGATTTGCACACCACTTGGGTCTGGACAGTTGCTGGTTCTTTTTGGACTCATCCATACTGATGGCTTCTCCAACCGCAGGCTTGCTCTTCCCGCAAACTGTAGGCGCCGTTCTTTTTGAAACGACGGATATGGTGTCTGTGAACTGCCATGGCCGTCGTCGGATGTGGTATTTAATCCGTTTGACCGGACCCTTTCTTTTGAACACCCAACACTTGCATCACCCAACTGATTGGGTGGTCAAGCCTTCTTGCCTTGGCCGTTTTCAGGTGGAAAACTTCCGGGAAGAGGCGGATGGCTGGGGTGCGAGGGGGACTGGATGGTCGGACGGTTTGGTACCTCGAAGATTGAGCCTTTTTGTGTGGCGCATCCTTGGAGATCACCAAGGAGATCGCGAGATCGCTCCATGCTGACTTGTGCGACGAAAGTAGGGAATGAGGGTGGCCAGAAGGCAAAGGAATCTCATGTGGCGGGCTCATTCCCTCATTTCCACCTAGGTTCAGCACCAGTCGCTCCATGTCTCACCCTCAGAATCGCCCTCAAAATCGGTCGACCGGGTCCCCTACCCTTTGAGACGGAGGTCTGGTCGCGTGCCGTCGGGCCACAACCGTCGGTCGCTCCGCGAGCCACAGGACTTGGATCCCGAGGAGAAGAGGCGTCGAGAGGAGGAAGAGAAGAAACGCGAGGCGGCTCGAATGGCCAAGGCCTGCGGTTCCGCTGTGGTCGTTTTTGAGCCGGGGACCAGATGGAAGTGAGAGCCAGGGTAGACAGGGGTTTTCGTGAGCCGGCTTTGGGTTTTGGGAATCCCATCTTCAGCGCTTGGACCACTTGGGGAAGTGGAGGACCGATTTGGTTTGTTCATTATACATTGTATTACGTGCCCTCTAGACTCCAGACAGCGTCAAAGTCACAAAGAATGACGTAATGACTGGATACCCTGGCAGCCTGTTGGAAAATGTTGGAACATATATTTGCTAAGTGGCCGCTTTTTAACAACTCCCTTCACGCAGAAAAGATGGCTATAGCTCAAAGCGCAAAAAGGCCCGGGGAGCTGCAGCGACCTGGTTGATCCTTTCGACGCGACGGACCGTGACAGATCCCGCACCGTTACGTCAGTCGGGTCACACGAACGAACAATGGAGACAGAACCGGAGAACCGGGTGGTCGGGGTACCCGGGTTTTTTGGTTCGGTCGGTTGACTGTTGTCTCAGTGCAAGCACCTGCTTCAGCTGACAAGAGCACCAATTCACTTGGCACCATCCCAGCTGAGGGAAGTGGCTCATACATGCCCATAACGATACAGGCCTAGCCTATGACCCCTGCCTGCTTCTACATGAACAGGCTTAGCCTAGCCTGTGATATAACCTATAACCTAGGATACAGGCCTAGGGCCTAGCCTAGGTCCAACCAGGTTTTTCGTCGATGTTCTTCGATGTCCGTCATTTTCTCCTTTCGCCAGGAGCGGGAGATGGGCATGAACCTGAAGAGTGGCCACTTGACCCGGCAACTCGGATTGCCAAACACAAACTCGGCACGAACTCGCTTTGGAGCTCGCTTTGCTTTAGAAAGGGAGCTTTTATGGTTTTCTCCGTGAACACGAATCGCCTGGCCTTTCTGGGTGAATGCTCTGGCCTTTTTGGGTGAATCCCACTGGCCTTTTTGGACAGAGTCTTTTTGGGTGTGTTGCCCAGATTCGGCAGAACATCGGATTCCGCTGGTGTGCGGTCAGTGTGCGGTCAGTGGAGTGGTGTCTTTTGGGGGGGCCAGGCGCGATTGACAGGGACATCTATCAGACATCTATGATAGGAGCCTGTTGGATCTTTTTCGATCGTTCCATAAATTCAGCTTTCGAGGTGCTACCCTTCAAGCATCAAGTATAGACACTCATATAGAGCCAAACCCCGACAGAAGAACCTCTTTGCTCATGGATCGTCTTCAAAGGCAGTTTTCATGCACCAGAGACGAGTTGACTGTCCCCTCGAACCCTCGATGCTCAGATGTGTGGTGTGTTGCCTGGGGTCCCCAGCTCCGTGCCCCGAACTCCTGGTGACCGAAGAAACGATCCTCCGGCAGCCAATTGGTCACACCGGCACACCAGGAAAAGTGGATCACCTTCAATATTAGCCTTATCTTGGTAATTGGGACACCACTAAGCAAGAACTCTGTGGAAAAAAGGTAACCCATATTTTCCATGGAACACGTTGTCGAGGGAGTCAGGTTCACGACCCATCCACGCTTGTCGCCCATCCGTCAGGCGGCAGCGGATCTTGCGAGCTTGCTGCCGCCGTAGGCAAGACCCAGCACAGCTGGAGGCGCCAAGATGTGGCACAGATGCGAAGAAGGGGATGGACGTAGAAACATCATTGAACTCCCTGAGGTCTGTTGGAGAAGATTTTGTTCATCCTGAGGGGTAGAGATATGCAGAGATCATTGGTAGATTTGGCCTCCAAAAAATGGACCAAGATCAGCACAATGAGCACTTTTTTGGTTCTGATGACGATGGGTGAATTTTGGGTGGTGAGGATAGGTTGAATCACTTTTGACGGCTGATCGACACCTGCTGATCGACCTTCAAGCAGCTTGATCACAGATCACCAGATCACCAGATCTTCAGCTATAGACATACACCAGATCTACCATATACATGCACCAGAGGTGCTAGATACGTACTGACGGACCCAGGTTCCAGAAACAAACAAGCTTGGTACATATTATAAATATGCCTATACATGACCTGAACAAAAGAAGCGCGCATGCATCCACAAGTACTAGGATGTACTAGGCATACTCGCGTATGCTAGTTGCAGCCAGTGGCTCAGGGGGGTAGGACAATCGTCAGTCGCTGTGTAGGCTTGACCTCGCTCGAGTTACTCCAATGAAGGGGCATGAACATGAACTTTGGAACAGGCGGCGTTTGATTCTCCTAACCTCAAAACTCAAGTCTTCAGTCAGAGCTTTTCAGGATCTTTGACTCCAGTCAGGGCGCACGACCTTTGACGGCCTTTGATCTCCACAGATCAGTCACGTGCTTGGAGAACTCCCCTTTGAGATCTGTGGAGTACGGAGGACTCCCTGAAAACGGACATGGAGTGCGTGAAACACCACCTACTTGGTCGATCAGATGGTCATCCCCAAATCCTGGGCCACCCATGTGATGATTTTCAGAAAGGAGCGCTCTGAGCGGCGCGTTTTTGCATTGTTTCATTTTGTTTCTATTGGGTTTCTATATTTGTATTGCGTTTCTATTGATTTTTGTGCCACTGAAAGAATACTATTCTGCCTCAACCCCCCCCCTCCCCCAAAGGCAATTTCCAAAATTCCAATTTTCCAAAATTCCAATTTTCCAAAATTCCAATTTTCCAAAATTCCAATTTTCCAAAAAAACCAAAGAAACCAAAAAAACCAATTGTGCCAGGACTTTGCCTCACCCCCTCTTCCCCCCATGGTCTGTGCAGAATTGGTTTTTTTTGTTTTTTTGGTTTCTTTGTTTTTTTTTTGGAAAATTGGAATTTTGGAAAATTGGAATTTTGGATTTTTTGATTTCCTGGGATGTTTTAAATTTTCAATTTCCTTGGAAGTAGACAATACTACCACTTTCTCTCATTTCCAGAACAGTCTCTGAAACCCTCAGTGATTTGTTCATTAGGGTCTAATAATGCTCCTTCTGCTCCTTTAACTCGAAAATTGGTAATACCTGACATTTTAGAATTATAACCAGTAAAATTGACATCTGCAATTTTTTCAAATGACATACCAATAATGAATTTGTTCTTTCTGTATTGACGATACGAAAAACTTAAACTGTCATGTACTGTATAGCTCTTCTTAAATAGTAAAAGATTTATGATAATGATTGCGCTTCGAATTCTGTGTATTTCTGGGAATTGCTTAATTGAATTTGCCAACTTAAACTACGGGTGGCATCTTGAAAACCTTTGTACCTTGTAAGTCATTTGTATCAGCATTACCAGTATCATTAATTCTTCCATAGATCATAGGATTAATTCCATCTCTTATATACATAATTGTCAGGTAAGTATCGGTTCAGTTCTTCACCACTCCTTGGAGTTCTAAATAAGGTAATGAATGCTCCAGTCAGTTTAGAAGATGATTTTACAATATTCATATTAATTTCACCACCACCAGCATTGAATGTTTGGGTGATTGTGTGATAACAATTTGTAATGTTTCTTATCTTGCCATTCCGCCCCCTCTATGTCCTGCCATTCTAACACTCAATGGCTGACAAGTAGCACCAATATAGACATCGTCATTTTGTCATTTAGTATTCTGTAAAATTTTGCCTTGGAGTAATCCACCATAACATTACATATTTTAACTAAGTTTAAATGTTGTTTTTTAAATGAGTGATTGGGGTTAAATCCATTGCTTATATTGGTGCCGGGATTGATGTTCCAAAGGCCGTTCCCTTCAAAATTGATATAGCTGTGGCTCATTAAAGGGTTAGGTTCTTTCAAATCAGAAGTTACAGCGTAACCATCCAACATTTAAACAATATCGGATGGATTGCGGTAGTCAAGTCTTTTGGGACTTTTGTTCCTTTCCTTTTTGTTTTTATTGTAGGGGTAGCATAGGTTGTTGTAGCAAATGTATTAGGTTGTTCTTGATTGATCTTATTACAGCACTTGCAAGGTTATGCCCAACCAAACGGGTTATTTCTGGTGACTTTTCCAATTCTTCTATAACATGTTTGTATTTCTCATTGTGATGAACATTTCTAGTAGGTACTAATAACAGATCATCCATAATATCCCTTGTTAAAGATCCATCACAACCACCTGTGCCACTTATGTATAAAGTCTTACTTGTTTTGTAAAAAGCACTTGGTGATGAATAGGCATTCCATAAGCCCCTGCGGTCTTCTATCTTCTCCTTGTTTGCTATATTTTTCTCTTCAGCATATAGTGTTCTATGTTGTTTAAAGTGATCATTTAAGTTTCTTGTAAAGTCATTCATTCTATCATTCCAATTTTGGTTCTTTTTTTTCATAATCACTGTAGGTTTCTTGACCGATCTTACTGAATAACATCTGGGCGCTTCCAGGCAGATCCTTCCAGGCAATGTCAGACACATCAATCATTCTCAAGAAAACGCATGAAAAAGGTTGAAAAATGCTCATTTTCATCGAAAAACGCGCCGCTCACAGCGCTCCCCTCTCATGATTTTCAGGGAGGGTCAGGGTTTAGGGGGGACGACCTCGCAGTGCCCGACCCTGGGAGCGGACACTGGAGAGCTTCTCATCATGGGCACCACAGGAGGATGTGGAGGTGCCCTTGGAGGAGGAGGAACATAATACATATCTTTCGGTGACTTGGCAGACTGGTTTGGGGCACCCATTTGGCAGAAGCCATAGAACAAGTCTAGTTTGAGTGTACTTGTAGACTGTACACATGTGACTCTTCTGAGTATATGGTCTATTCTGGGCAAGCCTGTGATGCTCCCAGGGCTGCAATTCATTCTCTGATTGGCTGGGTAATGAGAGGGCCACACAGTGGCCTTCGTGTTCATGTGTTCATGCCTGTCCCTGAGGATGACAAATGACCAAAGGTTCGAAAGCTCATTGAGACCAAGACAAATGAACCAGCACTCACAAAGGGGTGCGATCCATGGAGGTTAGGGGTGCCCAGAACATCCACTCACTTGGGGACCAAACACCACCCCTTTGTGACTCCTGGAAGAGTTGGCTTGAAGGGTGTAACAGGCGTCTGTCCATTTTCACTGGCTCGGTTTATCTGTGATGCATAACCACTTTGGGTGTGGTATTGATAGGGATTCCATCCCCACATCAAACGATACATCAAACGATCTGGAACGTCGCCAAACCTGGTCCCTCACAGCCCCCTGGTCACGACAACGGGTGTTTTTTCATGGAAAAATGGGTCATTTTGGCACCCAGTGAATAGGACCGATGCTCAGCCAAAAGTGCCTGCCGGCACGGGGGTTCGGCTGAGGATCCCAACATCCCCTTGCTGGACGATGATGGGAACCCCCCTTGAGAATGAGCTGCTCGACAGCGTTCGTGAGGTCCTATTTTTCTCCAGCTTCCCGCGTCCTTGCTCCTAGTAGCGATGCCCTTTGTAACTAGTAGCTTCTTGTTCCTAGTAGTAATGCCAGGAACTACGAGTAGCTTCTTGCTACTCCAGCTTCCCAGCAGATGGCTTCTCTCTTGAGACCCCTCCAAAAGCGTGTTCGTCTTGAAGACTCCTTCTCCTTTCACCTATAACACAAGTGAACGGTGGGAGGAGTCAGGCGGCTTCGGCCTCGACGCCTTGGAGGAACCCGTCATGTGGGAACCTGCACCGTCTGTGGGGAACCCCTCCCTCACACCCTCCCACACAGAGAAGTCTTCTGTTGAGACCCACAACAGAAAAAACGGCGTTGTTGGTCATCTTCCAGGTCGGGGACGGTCGCCTGAAGAGACTGAAGATACATGAAGATCGTGTACTCGACGGCAGGTCGACTTTTAAGGAACACCCACACTCCTTCAGGACCTGCTCAAGTCAGTAGGCCATTCTGTTCACTCCGTACCCAGGACAGTAGGTGGATTGATTTGGTGCACCTTGAGGACTGACACCCCCTGCGACGCCCCACGACCTTCGAACCTTCGGTGGACTTCGCCCCACACGCCCGAACGGGCCTGGGCCCTGGGCGTCGTGACGAACAAAGGATCGGGGTGGTGACTGACTTGGGAGTCCATGGGGAGGTCAGACGAAACGGGCACAATGCCCAGGCGAAACGGACAGGTGAAACATGGTGAAACGGAAACCACAAGAGAAGGCAGCCAGTGGAGTGCGTCCTCGATGGCCGATGGCCGCTGATGCCGTCCCTGATGTCCCTGATCCCCGGGCCCGTGCTGACGTGCTGAAGCATCCATCAGAGGCCTCCAAGAATTGACCGTGTGGTGGCGGACCATTTTTCCGAAGACCAAGCCAGACGTTGTGGCCCTCCTGCAGGGGGAAATCGAAGAAATCGATGCAGCTCGCAGGTACGGCATCATTACCTTCAGCCAGCACTCCGTGACCATTCGCCGCTTTGGCATAGTACTGTAGATGTCCATGTCTGACACCAGTATGGCAAACCCCCATGCCTTCGCGCCCTCAGTTGATGAACAGTTATCGTTGGGAACGGGATAACACCAGGCATTAGGTATTTGATGGGAGACATGAAGATGAGGCGACAGGGGGCTCTATATGTAAATCCCTGTAAGGCATGGTTTTTCAATGGTGTTTCTACAATGCTTACTGCAATTGTTTAAGACCACTGGTTTCGAATGGTCCTGACCCAGAACGACCCCTCATGCATTCTGGCCTCGACATTCTAAATCTAAACGTGGGCCTCCGTCCGAGTCCCAAACCATGTCTTCTACAAGGGTCCATCCATGTGGAGAGAACTTTGTGGGACTCATTGAGGAGACTCATGGCGGAGACTCGCTGATCGATCGAGATCGGGGGTGTTTGGGGGTGTTTCCAATAGAGTGGATCCCTGCTTGCAAGGTTTGTTCCTTTTCAAGACGACACAAATATAACTTACCTATATACAAGCTTCAAAGTTTCAAAGCAGGATGTCTATCGATCTCCCCTCTAAAAAGCTCCATACTTAACACAAAAACCTCCACATGATAAGTCTACTCACCGGGTTTCGAGGCCCCCAGTGAATTGGGACACCCCACGAATACCAGGTATAACTAAGTGGAAAGTTCGCTGAACCTCCACTTTCCAGGATCGATCGATCAAAACGGCGAAAGAGAGGATCTGCAGGGGCAGCTGGTCCGAGAAATTGACACCTATTTAACCACACCCATACCTGGAGTCGACCCGTTCGTACCTCGGAAAAAAGGTACATGCAAGTACTTGTTTTTATGGGGTCATGTCCCATTTTCTAAGGTACTTTGGAGACTCCAGGTACCTGGAAAACAGGCCAGGAAGGACTCCAACCTCGTGAAATCTGCAGTCATCTGCGCATACTTCGTGATCTGCCAGGGCTCGGGAGTGGCTCCGATTTGCATCGGTTGATATGGTCAGGTGCCAAGAACGAGGTGCAGAATATCCCAGTGGAGATTGTCCGGAAGAACGGCAACGAAGGCGGATCTTCGGAGTGAAGGCTACGAAGGTGGGTTGGATTCTTGAAGATGGAACGCACATCCCCACCCCCTTAACCATTGTTTTGAGGGGGGGGCCAGAAAAATGTAACGGGCTAAATGTAAGTTACATTTTTTCAGGTCCCCCCCCTGCTAAGGGGTAGGGATGTTAGCACCGATTCCGGGTGTCCATTTATCGGCCCGAAAAGAGAGAACCTTCGGGGTGTCCATGAACCACCTTAAGTCGGGGGGTCCAGGTATGTGTTAGTTTGCACATTCAGCAAATTCCATTGACGTGTGTATACCTGGACCCTCCAAAGTACCTTAGAAAATGGGACATGCCCCCATAAAAAACAGGTACTTGTACCCATTTTCCGAGGTACGAACTGAGACTCCAGGTATATACTGTAGGTGTTGGCTTTGGAGGTTTTTCAAGCCACACGGCCCCTGAGTCGCCTGAGTGGCTTGCCAGGCAAAGTGACCTGCACCTACCGCTTGGAACAGTTGTCGGCCATCCCAGGTGCCGAGCCCGACTGGAAACGAGCCGAACGCGGGAGAGGGAGTGCTTGAGGCATTTGGCCAGAGTGGAAGACCAAAGCCGAAAGACGCTCCAAAACATTAGGGGGCGAAAACAGGGGTGAGAGGATTGGGCCAAAAAGCGAAGGACAAGTTGTGGCGGGCCGTGAAAAACTACTTGGACTGCATCGAAGATTTGTCATGCGAAATCGTTCAGGCTGAACAGTGATCCCAAATTCAGGGCCCTTCAGGCGATGTCTTGGTCACAAAGGACCTGTGTCTTTTCTCACCAGCCGCTACTCAACTCCACACATGAACTGGTATCATGTTTCGAGACACCGCTGTTTTTTGGGGGGGACGCTCAACAGGCCTGACCTCGCGACCTCCTCGCGACCTCCTCGCCATTACTTACTGGCATCCAAACCTGCCGATGCAGCCGGAGCCTATGCCGTCCTCGATGTGACAGGCTTTGACTACGAAGAGGATGAGGGAGAGATCCAATTCAGAGATGGGGTGCAGACGGCGGAGATCTCGCGCCTCGCTCGACGAGCGCGGAGAGCCGATGGGTCGGAGGGTTCCTCCGGCCAACGGAGGGGATGCGGCCTTTCAGACCGATGAAGTGTAACGCAACGAGAAGCGTTCTGCTTCTCCTGGTGTTCCTTCCGCATGTGTAAGCCTGACAAAACTGCACAACTGATGCTCATTGCCAGCAACACCCAAGATTTTAATAGATCCCCTAGACCATGTAATGTTCATCCAATAACCACCTAAACTGGGTGTTGCTGGACATTTTTTGCTTTCTGGAAAGGTACCATGGCCAGGCAAGAGTGGCTTTCCCGGGCGGTGCTGATCTGAGGCTGACCATCTTGCCGAAGAAGCGAGGGGAGAGGAGTGATCGATTTCAAGTGGTGCTTGAGGAGACCCGCTCGTGGTTTCGGCTCGTGCCGATGTCAACGGGATCAACGAGGTGTTCCGGGTTCCGGGGTGCGGTGGGCGGTGCTCACCGGGCCATTTTGGGGTGGAACACCCAATCGAACTGGGCTTTGACCCGGAGGGTGGGCATGGGTCGTTCAACCTGGAGCCCGACCAGTCCAATTGCCGACCGTCACCGGTCGAGCGGTCTCTTCCAAGGGGTTTTCCTTCTTGTTCTCCTGTGACATGTTGCGAGGCTCAGCGGCCCGGAGATCCGGATTTCCGGGACATCATGGGATGTGCGGGGAATGCATGTCTTACAATATCCATTTTTAGTAGGTTCAACGACCAGATCCTGCACTACCCTGGTTTGGAGAAGATCAGAGCCAGTTTGCCACTCAGGAGCCCACAGGCGGTGCGGAATTCAACCCGGACTTTGATGGGGGCGAAGAGCACCTGCGATTGAAAGGGATCGACTGGAGGGCATTTTTGACATGTAACACATGTTTGGCAGGATCCTATGATGACGCTAACAGTGAGTCAACAACAAACATTTTGCTTACTGTTTTTGGAAGGGGTTGTGGATCTCCACATGGGACGTGATGAAGACGCATCCATCTCTGAACCACTTGCAGGTGCTCCGAAGTAACCTGTGGCCTGACTCGAGGGATGCATGAGCACTGGGTGTTTTGTGGAAGTCTTGATGGATGCCCTCAAAAGATGCTCAGATGTCCGCGAGATGAATTTCCTTTCTGATACACCTATACCCAGCCATGGATCACCCTTTTGGAGAATTGGGGACACCCCACTACACATCAAGCAACATCAAGTAAGAAGTGGACAGTTCGGTTAAGAACACCTTTATTTTTCCAGCAATGGCCTGGGAGTCGGCACACCAGGGGCAGCTCATGAAACAGGCAGGCGCCCCTTGTACCAGGCGCCCCTTGTGAGGCAGGGGAACAGTCAAAACCCCGTCTCGTATGGATTTCTCAGCCCCTATGGGCTCCAACTCCGTTTCGAAGCTCCAAGACGGTCCCGACCCTCCCAAATCATGGCATCCAGTTACCACATGTTACCACGATGTCACTGGGAGTCCCAGTGGTTCTAGTTCGACTCAAACCATAGACCTCACGAATCCCTGGTTCCATTCCTATACCAGCACCCTCCAAGTCCGGTGGTTTTTGGACACCTCGACTCACCTCTAAAGGCTATTACAAAAAGACACCTCTGTCGCGGAGGCTCCTGGTAGTGGTTTGTTTGGGATCCACCGAAATTGGACTTCCCCCCCGAAGGGCACGGATCCGAGTTTCCGTTTGGCACCTCCCGCCGGCACGGATCGTCACGTCGAGGTGCCAACGTCTGACGATCGTGGTGGAGAATGAGATCCGCGGAGGTCGTCCTGGGTCCGCGGATGCTGTACGAAGTACAATCTATAAAGGCTCAGGAAGGACCTATAGATAGACGGTGGGAGCTTGGCCGATTTTTGTTGGGGATGTGGGACATAGATGAAACAGGATGAAACGTACCTTCACTTCGGGGTTTAGCTGGCTGGTAGCCCCTACACTTACACGAATGACTATCCGGGAGCTCCATTTTTCACACCGAAATGAAGGTGCAGGTATCATCGTCGGGTTCGTTTTCGAAGACATAGTTTCGCCTCAAGTTTCAGAGTCAAACCCACCTCGAATCCAGACATGAGCCCTGCGATCGAGATAGGAAGTTGGACATGATGTTGGAGCATCTTTTGAGTGGTTGAGGAGATACATTCGAAGGTCCTGGATAGGTCTCACACATTCGACGCATTTGGGCTCACTGATTGGATGGCGTGTGCGATGGTGTGTGCAACCTGAGTTGACCTCGATTGTTTGGGACGGACCAAGCAACCCCAGATTTACCAGGGCCATCCTGTCTGGGTGTCCTGGCTGGACTACCCCGCCCACTACCAATTGACAGGACACCCAGAGAGGATGGGTCCAGTCAGGGTCAAGTCGTCCAATCCAAAGAGGGCTCTGTCTTGGGCGACCCCAAGAGATCTTCAGGGGGGGGCCACCCCATGGGCCTCTGCAGTTTTTGGGGGATGGCGGGTGGACCATGAAAACACCACAATCTCACTGAAAAGACTCCAAGGCTGGAGAGCCGGGTCCCGAGGTGCTTGGTGCTTGGTGGGGAAAGCAAGCAATCCTGGGAACCCATGACATGACCTCTGTTTGGAGGGGAGAAGACCCTGTTTTAGTACATTTTGCTTCCAACTCCAGATGTCACTCTGGTTCTAGGTACATCTTTAGGTACCTCGAGGATTTGAGGGGTATTTCAATAGGGGGACCTTCCAACTCCCGACCACTTGGATTTCCTTTGTTTTTGATTTTCCCAGTGGTCCAATGAGGGGTCAGGGGTTCTTTTCATGGTCTCCCTTATATTCAAATACACACCCAATGTAACTTGGGGCTTCCGTACATGCTGCCCCAACAATCCAGGGAGCATCTGGGTCGGTGGCGCCTCCAGGCAGTTGCTTCACCGCCTTGATCGACGCCGTGGTGAACCTCGATGAGCTTCGACAGGCCCGCGGCGGGCGGGAAAAGACGACCGGCAGTGAAGCAGATGAGAGAAGAAGATCGGGTGGAAGGAAGGGAGTTCGCAGAGGGGTTCAGGGACCCTCCAAGACCTTCGATGGGTCGAATGGAGGCTAAAAGTACTTCCGGATGGTGGAACTGGGATTGTGTTGGACTGCCAGAAGCACTGGTATCACACGTTTGTCATAGTCCCTCAATGATGAAACACCAGAGGTTGAAGCACCTTATAGACCATTATATATATATATATCCCATAATGTCCCATACCAGCACCCTCCAAGTCCGGTGGTTTTTGGACACCTCTTAACCTCTATATATAAGAGGCAATTCTTTTAGACACCTCAAGCGGAGGGTCCTGGTATAGTACCCCAAGTAACGGGTCCTCTTTCAAGGTCACTGAACTTCGCTGGGAAGGTCGCACGCAGATGGCTCAGATGGCTCTCTTGGTCGTTTCAACGGTGTTCGGTGCAGATGTCCGGTGGTCGGTGGTGGTGTGTCCACTGGCCGTGCTTGGAACTGCTGGGGCCCAAGACCGGGCCCTGGTGGGACGGGTTGACCCGGCCCTTGAGGAATCGACGTCTTTCGAACTGGAAGCACTGATGGGGTGACCCACGTCCGGTCGGTTTTTGTTCTCAGGTTGGGATGAGTAATGCTACTGGAGTCCACCCAAGCCACTGGAGTCCACCCAAGCCACTGGAGTCCACCCAAGCTAATTTGGTTCACACAGGTTTGGCCAAGAACAGTGCGGAGTGCTTCGCCAACAGCGTAGAACCGGCTTTTCGCAGTTGGGTCTTCTAGAATTGATGTCGTGTTGTTTTGGGTGGCACTGTTCTTCAGGTCTGAACCCATCCGAATAACAGGAGCTCGACAAGTATTTTCACTTGCTTAAAAAATCAGCTCCATGAAGAAGTGTTCTTCGGAGGAGATGCAAGACCTTGTCACCAATCTGTGAAGATTGAAGTCCAAAACTGGGCCATTCAGCACGGCCCCCCCTGTCATTGGCATTTAATGGATCATTTTCAGCCTCAGTGGTCCAGGCTTGTTGATCAGCATGTTGAGATGTCAGCGCACCTAGTCGTCCATCGTCTTCTGGCAATAAGAATCACCGCCACCTGCGGTTTTTCACATGATGACCTGTCACCAGAGTGTTGTTCTTTTCCTACGGACTCCGCCGGCTCCAGAGGGACGCCTTGAAGCGGAGATCCACCCATCTTGCTAGAGCACGCAGCAGGTGGCTGCGGAGACCATGCAGCAGGTTCTATTTTAAAGGAGTGAAGAAACTGCCAGCACCGACTTCACAGGTGCTTCCTCGTGACAAGTTACTTGTCACGAGGTTCACCACCTGTTCAGGTCTCACAGCCTGGCTAGGAGGGTCCGTGGTGACCCTCGAAGACGTTTTTTTCGAAAAAAACTCTTCCAGCACTCACAGAGATTTCGACAGGAAATCCATCCTCGCCAGGGCACGTCCTTGTGGAAAGCGCAAATCTTAGAGGTGATCTTTGTTGGAGGCAGCAAGGAAGAACAGGACCGGGGTGGATGGCGGATGGGGCTGGGGAATGCTAGGTGGGCCGTTGAGTGGGATTTCAGTCCATTTGTCCCGTGTTGCCTTTTGGATTTGTGCTGATGGTGGCCAGGGCAGATGTAACTTGGGATGCTCCTCCATACAGAATTTCTCTCGAAGAGGCCCTTTCCAACGGCTTTCTCTGTAGGGATCCCACCATTGCCAACGGGTTCTCCCAACGCTTCACAAGATGGCACCTTGAATGGCGAATCATCCAAACACCGGAGGGGTCAACGCACCCCAACTTGATTTTTTTTTGGATTTGATGTGTCTTCCTTCAGCTCTTTAGATGTCCAAATCAGTGGTCTGGCTGTCTTCGCTGGAGAGACTCCACACATCCATCTGCAGAAGCCCCCTTCAAACAGCCCTCCGACGTCTCCTCCAGGTCTCAAGCCTCCAATCATACCTGGCACATGAGTCTGCGGAAGGTCTCAAGCCTCCCCAGACCTGACCTAATCAACATCTGCAGAAGCCTCCTTCAAACAGCCCTCCAAGTCTCAAGTCTTCCATGATACCTCACCATGGAGACTTGAGACTCCATCGGACTCTTCCTGAACCAAACACCCATCCCATCCCACCGAAACCCAACAACACGGTGTTGTTGGGTTTCTACCTGCTGCACCTGTGTTCTGCGTGGGCTCCCTGACACCGGTGCCGTTGGTTCCGACCTGACACCGTGTCACGGCTTCCGGCTTGGCGGCGTCCTAGGACCAAGCTGGAGCACTGGACTGGTCCCTTGGGCGAACGGAGACGTATGGACCTGGAGACGGTCTCCGAACTGGACAACCAACACGCAGCGAAAATGGTTTGGGGGGTCAAGGTATCGCATATATATATATATATATTCCAGTCCCATTGATGGCCTGGGAATGGTTTGTGTGGGTCCCAAAATTCTATCCTACCGGATGCATAGGAGGTGGACTTTCTTTCTTCTTGGGAGAGATCTGTTCAAGCTTCGGGGTCAGGGTAGCCAGTTTCGGGGGGTCAAAGACCCAAAGAAACGGGGACAACGCATAGCAGAGTTGTACCAAAGAGATCACTTTTCTGTACTTTGCAGAAGTAAGGAAAAGGTCGTCAGTTGATCCACCTGCTTCATCCAGTCGTGACTGAACTTCAATCCCCTGGCGGGTTCGGTCACAGCCTCCTGCTTGGGTCACTTTATGACTTCAAAGAGGTCAGAAAGGGATGCTCCTCAGATGAAGCTTTGCAGGACTTCATCCCAGAAAACCGGCAACTTCCCTGAAGCGAACAGAAGCGAACGGACCGGAGACCTTATTGGGCCCACCCCACATCCTCTTCGAAGCACCTCATGCTCACGCGGTCGCACGATTTTCTATTTTGTCCTCTGCATGCTTCAAACTTCAAACCGTTTTTTTGCGGATCATTCCAAACCTTTGATCAAACCCAAACCGTTGATCATTCCAAACCCCAACCGTTGATCACTCCGTTGATCATTCCCTGTGCTCAGGTTGAATCACCTGATCTGGCTTCCCTGGACCTTGATCTTCGCACTTTTCACCCCGCCGCCGGCCTACCTGGGCGGCTGGGCCTCTTGACTAAACGTCTACGCCTACGCTGCGCAGTCGATAGGCCGAACACGGACGTTGACAGAGGTGAAGCACTGAAGTTGGGAGCGGTTCTTGGCTGATCGACCAAACTCACAAGATGCTTCGAGCGAACAAAGTTTGGAGCGAACGGACTTGAGATGACTCTAGTCAACGACTCCCGTCGTTTCATCCTGGCTGATCGTCGACAGTCCGTCTCGTTTCGTCCGTCTTCCATCGAAAAAGAAGCAGTGTCACTTCAGGTCGCTTCGGGTGGAGCCTCCATCGATCAAAACAGGGTCGCTTCGGGCTCCAGACATGACATGGGTCTCACCCCCGTGCCACCGTCACCAAGTCTTTCTGGTCGGTGTTCCAGGGATCGGTTACAGATACCGGTGAGTGTTGGGCCAGGTGTTATTTTACTGTTTTTTTATGTCCTTGGGAGTCAAAGACTCTAAAAAGAATGGTCTTTAGGGGACCTGAAAGTGAACTTCCCTTACTTCAGCCGGTCAATAGAATAGTCTTTGGACTTCTAGGGTTTATTACTATTATTCTTTAGCCTCTATTTTTAAAAACCTACCTTGTGAGAGATGGTTGGAGCCGTGGGGTATTACCTGAATCTTCCAACGATGCAACAAAAAAGTCAGCCCTTTGGCTGGTTTGATGGATGAAAAGGCAGAACTTGTGCGTGGTTGGAAGATCCAGGCATATATGTTTGGTTCTCGAAATAGGGACCTCCCAAACCCATTTTTGATGCCCTGCTGCAAGGGTAATTGATGATTGAACGCAGAGAACGTCCATTGCACAAGCTGAGGTTTGCTTCTTCATCTCCCTCATGCACATTGCCTGGCTCACGGTCAGCGGCCAGTGGATTAAGTTGGAGGGATAACGAAGGATCTGTGTCCAAATTGAGTGATTGCTTCAAGTAGGCAGTTGACCCGAACTGGCCGGAACCCACTCACTGGAAGGAGAAGAATCGTTTCTGAGAAACTATTCTCCATGAGAACTTGCGGGGAGCAGTTGGGGTTTGCCACCCGATTGACTTGACCAGACACAAGAAACCCCAAGTTTGAAAGTAGCCGTGACCAAGCGGGGAACCCTTTCAAGGACACCATGATGGACTCTTCTTGTATCAACTCCGAGTCTCACTCACATGGAAGTGGAACACCCTCTGTTTGGTTTTCGGAACATCGTCATCCAACGGGCCATTCGACTTCCAGGATTGTTAGCCCTTAGTAGTTTCTCTCACGATGAACTCGCTCGGTGGCATTCCTTCTGTTCGGTGGGCCAGGGGGTTGTCCCTACCTTCTGAGATGGTTGGAGCCGTGGGGTATTACCTGAATCTTCCAACGATGCAACAAAAAGTCAGCCCTTTGGCTGGTTTTAAGGATGAAAAGGCAGAACTTGTGCGTTGTTGGAAGATCCTGTCATATATGTTTGTTTCTCAAGATTTGGGAATGCCCTGCACCCATTTTTGAAGCCCTGCTGGTAGGGAGGCCTCAATGACCGCCACTGACTTCGACTTGCGTCCGGCGCCAGATCATCATCGGCGACCTGGCCGAGCTCTTTGGTTGTGCCACTGGGCTAAGACCGTCGACCAGGTCCCATGGTCACGGCGTGGCGGACACCCTGGGATGGGGCGGGGCAGTGACTACGTCTCAGGGGACTGGGCAAGTCTCCCGATCAACTCGGCGACTCAAAATCTGGTATTCTTCTAAGGTATACATGCAATATCATGCAATATCAATCAATATCATGTAGTTATACACTGCCACAATGTGTACCTGGACCCGACTTCAAGTACCCTAGAGAATGGGACATGACCATATTTTAAAAAATAAACATAAGTACGAGGATACCTTCAGGTTGCCTCCTTGAGCTGCTGAGTAGATCTTCCAGCTGCTCCAAAGTTCGACCATTTTATTCATAAAACCCAGCAAAATGGATCAACCTGGCAGACATCAATGATCAGGTCAGCAGGTCCAGGACGCAGGACGTCGTGTCGCCGTCCGCGGATTTGCGTCCGCGGACGGGCGTCGTTGAGGTGGCCAATGTGGATGACAACATCACTGCCATCTCCTTCGTGGCCCTGGGTACCTCTGTGCCGGACCGTTCTGGATTCGCCTTCGCACCGGCGTTGCACCGGTGTTTCGCTTCACGCGGAGAGGGGGGCGTGGAGGTTCTTGTTAGGGCGGACCCGGTTGGAGGGGATGGGTGAAGCGGAGAGGGTCTAGGTGTTTTTGTTTCAGAGATTTGAAGGAATTCAAGCTTTACTCGGGATGATTGAACCCACTGGCTCATATTTTTCAGGTGACACCAAATGGTGGACATGAGGAGTGAAGAAGGGAAGTATAGGAGCCTTCTTGTGGCAAGAAGGGTAGTTAAGAGAGGTTTCTTTGGGTACGGTGCAAACGTGTCCAAACAAGTTTCGAAACTCTAAAGGTAGTCACCAGGAGTCACAAAGGGGTGGTGTTTAGTCCCATCCAGTGAGTGGATGTTCTGGGCACCCCGACTACCTCCATGGATCGCACCCCGACCTCTGTGACTGCTGGCAGAAGGGTAGTCTTTCGAACACTTGGATCCTTTTGGTAAGAGGTTTCTTTGGGGTACCAAAGTTTCGGGTTCAGAGTTTCCAAAAACGTGAGTCTCTGGCCAGGAAACTGGTGGCCAGTCCATCGGTCCCGTGGTGTCCGTACCAAACGGGTTGATCCACACCCATGTTTCCGTACAGACCAATAGAAACTGAAACCTGTATACGCATCCACCGAAGCTCTCCATACCATTATATAGATCGCAAAGCTTTGTCTACTCTCTGTGCTTCAGGCTTTGGCTTCTCAGGGCATATTCACAGCGAGGATTCTTGCCCGGAACCCCCGAATTTTTAAAGCAGAAACAACTTGGATGCTCCCCCAACAACTATAGACTGAACCTCAGGATTTGTGGTCGTGACCATTTCAAGACCTAAACCCGTGACCGGACCGCCATTGGGATCTCAAATTATTGATGTTACCGGGAAGCTTTTGGAATTCTTATTCATGGCAGAGCAACCATCACAAGTGTAGTTGCAGTCGATCCTTGGTTGTTCCATGTTGTTCCAGTATCTGATCCATACCATCTCGTTCAACACCTCCATGTGGGACTGACCTCTTTGCCTGCCAAAAGCGTGCGCGAAGCGCGGGGGACTGGCATCGAAATGCCAGTGCCAGTTGCGTGTTTGAAGTGTTTGAAGTCTACTGGAAATGACGAGGAATCCATCCACATGACCCCTTTGCCTACTCTTCCAATGAGGATTCGACTCTTTGATTGGGTGTGAAGAGCGTCTCGCCCCCAAAAGCCTCAATGGGTTGTGGTCTGGTCTGACGCTACCGGGGGGGTCTCCGACCTAGGGGTCGCCCTATTCGAGCTACATACCCATTTCAGACTCATCCGCGCGAGTGCGTAGGGAATTTTCGCACAGTCAGATTTGGGTGCCCTGAGAATTCCGGGCCCCGAAGCAACACAACTTCGGATCCCTGCCGAAACGGGTGGAGAAGGTCCGACCCCTCTGCCGAAACGGGTGGAGAAGGTCTGTTCGGATTCTTAGGGGTGTGGGACGAGTCGATTCCGACCGCTTTCCGGCAGGACCTCTTTGCCTCGATGACGGCGGCGCGGCAGGACCCCACCGCGGATGCGTCCATCGTCAACGTGCCCCATCGGCGTGTGGTGGGGGCGTTGGGGTTTTGGGGGTAGAAGAGGTGCGAAGTCTTGGAGGTGGTGGGATTGGAAGAAGCTCTTTGAAATTCTTGATATATATATATATATACCCACAAGGTGCAGTCTGGCCAAGCAAAACCAGGTCCAGTCTGACCTCATTGAATGGTGCTTTTGTATGACCCACTCAACCCACTCTGGTCGAGATATCAGACTGACCCAGGGGATCAGATGCTGAGCGCGCGTGTGGGATGTGATTTGGTCAACATCTGTCAACATACCCTTACTAGACCTTTTTTCCTTGGTTTCAGGCGGCCTCAGAGAAAGCTGAGAGAGACGCGAGATCCTGGGCGGAGACCCACTGCCATATCTGTTGGACCCACTGCCTTCCTGACCGGATCGTTTGGTCGCTTCGGCCGAAGCCTAGGGGGCCACCGCGCCGCCGTCCGACTCCACCTCCAGACGGTTCGATGGCACGCGGAAGGTCCTGGGAAGGTGGGAAGGTCCGGAGGTCCGTGTCCGTGGACCCCAGGTGACTGGGAGTAACTCCGTGAACGTCTTCCTGGGCATTGGCATGCCTTGGCTCTTAGCATCCTTCTACTGGTACATGCAGGCCAGGAGTCGACAGCATGTTTGAGCTTCGACAGCTGGGATCCGTTTTGAGCCTTTTTGAAAGCGTTGTTGAGAAGGTGTTTGGCACCTGCAGACCTAGTTTTGGTGGTCTGAAATCCTTAGTCACACAGTTGTTGGGTAAAGAGATTGAAAGCAATGGTGGGCGACGGGCGAGGTTTCATTGGAGGGTGGCAAGTGATTGAGTGTACCGGGTCAAGATTGGATGTGTCTTGGAATGGTCACTCAGTAGCTGAATGCAGCTGACACTTTGGCTGCTTGGAGGTGGAATAGGTTTGTTGGCTCCCAGGCCAGTCGTTCAAAAATGGCGGGACGAAAGGGTCTGCTGGCTGAAAACGGGTGAATGTATGTAAATATCCCAGTCCCATGGAGTGTCTGGGTTATGTTATGCACTATATATTAAAATGCAACATCTATCAACATCCCCCCAGCATCCCTGCACCCAGGACCTTCCAACAGCTGGTTCGGGGATCCCAAATCCGATGGTTTTGGGACTCAAACAACCAGCGTTTCAATTAGTGACCTATCAGTGAGGCTGGCAGTGGATGCAGGATCTTTTTTGCATGTTTTTTGCAAATCTTCCTAGCTGGTCACCACGCCCGAGCGCAGGACTGGACTGGACGCGCAGTCCACGGCCCGAAAGAAACACCCCACGGCCCGATGGGGGACCCACCGCGGTGGGGATGCAGGTGTCCTAAACCAAACCTTGGATTCGTTTTCAGAATCCACCGTTTTTTCCGCCGCTTTTCCTTCGCGCCTGCAGTGGATGAAAGCTTCCGGGACGGTTGGGTTTGTTTGTATAACTACTTACTTGCACGGATGACGTTTCTTGAGATCTTATGTGTCCTTTTTGGTCCACGCCTCAGGATGCCTTTTAGGCCCCCCCGACCAAATCGGAGATTCAGCCTTGTGACTTGTGTCTCACTGTGGATGAATCAACCACCCCATAGGATGGATCAACCGTCCGAATAGAATGGGTGATTCATGGCCCCACCTGGCCTGCTCCTTTCCGCCGCTGAATTCAGGGCCCAACCTGCATGAACTCCTTCAGCTTCGCCTTGCCTTTCTACCCCATCCGCCGCAGGGCACCACCTTCGCCGTGACGTCCCAGGGGATGAGCTTTAGCGTGCTGGCCGGGGCGACCCCGGGTCGGAGCAGGGGTGGCTGGTGGTGGCTGGCAACAAGGCAGCCAACGTGGACCCAAGCCAAGGGGTGGGGGACATGTAGACGGTCGAAAAAGGTGCACAACGACGCAGCTAATGAGTTGAAGTATAGTGGAAGTCTTGATTCATACACCTGCCCGTTTGAATTCAATAACCTCTTTACATGCGGGGGTTCATCATCAAGAGGCTACATGTGACTTTTTCGAGTTGGCCGATACATGCATTCCTTTTTTTTGGTGTGTGTGTGTGTCAACCCCTGTGCCAAAGGGTTCACTGCCAACTTCTACCTTTTTCACAGCAGGGGGCCATCCCCCTCCCCAGTGGCGGATGGCCAACGAAGAGGCCACTGGGGGGGGCTGCAAACGTACCTGCCGAACTGTTGTACAAGCTGTCACTCCACTCTTTCTTTGTTTGTTTCCATGGTGGTTCATGCTACTTCCCCTAAACCCTTTTCCCTCGGTTTCAGCTGCCGTCCGCCGCTCGTCCGCTGCTGTCGCGAGTCTGCAGATGCGCACAAACTATTTGTTGAAACACCTTCAATTGATCGGACTCCTCACCTTGCCGTTGAGCCATTCCTTTCCTCGGAAAATTGAGTTAACTGAATACAAGTGTCGAAGTGTGTTTCGCTCAGCCGTCCCACTCGGGTGCTGAGTGTGATCCCCGTCACTGGGGCGCCGTTTTGCATCGGAAATCACCCACCACAACATGCCACCTTTCACCGGATTTCCACTGGAAGTCATTGACACATCCATAGAATCAACTGATGCATTGGCCGCCGGGCCCAAACACGGCAGCTTCTTCTTCTTTCACTGACTTACTGACCAGTTTTGCAAAGGGTTTTTGCATGATCCTCAAGCAGTGCGATTTGAGTTTTTTTGAGCAGTTTAATTCGACGTGCATGAACTCACCACAACACTACATTCCTCCACACCATCAAGCATAAGCAGAACAAGCACAAACACAACGTCCATCACATCCTCCAGCACGGCAACAAGCACGAGCACATCCGCAACAGCAACCATCACATCCACCTCCTCCAGTTTCTCGATAACATCAAGCACAAGC